AAGAGATCCTATTTTTTGAGCAACTTGGAAGCTGCATGAGCACTACTGTAGTGAAACCCTGGAGTACATGTATACTGTTTTTCATTTCATTGTAGAGGAGATGGCATTACCCAGTGCTTGGGGTTACATCAATGATGCTATCAATATAACTAAGACAATACAGTGGATATCTTTAGACTCACTCCCCATTTATCAGGTAAAAAAATTAAAAGTGTTTGTTATTACGTGTTGAGTATCAGGTTTAAGTTATTGAAATGGTTTCTAGGAATGTTTTGGTTTATTGGAGAAAACAGAACATGACATTGCAACTGCAGCATCTCTTCATGCAAAGCTGAAGCAAGGACTGGATATTAATACTGACTCTGTTAAGAGAACAGCAGCAGAGGACAAGGAACTAATGGCCAGTATACAAATACTAGTGGAAGAGCCTGAACTGGTTTTACAAGATCCTGTAACCAGTGTAACCGGATTAGCATTCCAAGGACTGCTTAAGACTCAAATAGCATTTCAAGTATGTTGTTGTTGTTGTTGTTGTTGTTGTTATTGTTGTTATAAATTGCTTGTGCATGACTGTGATGTACATATACATTTTAATTTATGTAGAGTTTGGATGAAGTATCATCATCTCGTCATTCACGTCAGCATCAAACTAAGGTAAAAGCAACTGCATAATCTTTTAAATCACATTTGCTTGATTTTAATTTGTGGAGTACTTAACTAATTTTTCCATTACATTAGGTATCAAAAATTTGCTCTAAATATTATTATTTATTCTTGTAGTTCACTGGGGCTGCTCTGCCAAAAGCAACTGCTCGAGAGTTCATCTTAAGAACTGTGTCTCCTCAGCCATCCTTACTGTCCAGCCCTGCTCCTCAGAGAATGTTCTGTTTTCTAACTAAAGATGAAACTCGAGTAGCAGGAGCCTTCACACAAGATGTTTTAATTGTTTAAATCATTATAATTGTTTGATCCTATTATTATAATTTACAATTAAGACCTGTTTTTAACAATTATCATCATTGAATGCACTGTGTATAAAAAGCAAGTGCATGCTTAAATGTTGTTTAAATCTTTTGGCATTTCCTTTTTGGAATAGTATATCTAATTATTGATGAGTTTTGTACATAAATAACTTTATTTTACGAGTTTATTTTGTTAGAAGCATGTTTATGCTCTTGACTATAAAAGTAATGTGATCAGTTTGTTTACCTTTAGACTCATTACTGCTGGGACTGTCAACAGCTTTTGAGTGTTAAGCAAAAGTAGCATAGCTAACGTTACACGAGACTAAGCTAACATTATCAGGTGCTCTATTTTTATAACCCATAATCAGTCGTGTAGCAGCTTGTTAAATATTGGTTGCATATAGCAATAATTATAATGATGACATGCATTGCTCTAGTATAAAAGCACTCTCATTGCAGCAGAATAAGCCAGGTAAAAACTGTTAGATTTAATCCAAGAAGAATGATGTCAATGATTGTTGCAAACTCCTTCATCTTTTTAGCTTTAATATCTTGCTTTGAAATAAATACAGCAACTGCTGGTAAGCTAGTAAAATCATTCCTTTATTATTCACTTATGTTAATTCTGTTTGTATGTATGAAGATAAAGGAGCTACATACATTCGATGGGGTCGTACCGTATGTCCTACTGATAGGACTGGTGCTACCCTTGTCTATGAAGGCATTGCTGCTGGAAGCAAGTGGTCAGAATCTGGTGGTGGAGCCAACTACCTTTGCCTACCTAAAACACCAGAGTATTGGCCTATTGGTACAGGAACATCAAGCTATCAAGCATTCCTTTATGGAGCTGAGTATCACTCCCGTCATTATCCATCCTTCATTGATTCCACTGCACCTTGTGCAATGTGTCTTGCTGTTAATAAATCAGCAACGATCATGATACCAGCAAAAATAACGTGTCCTAAATCATGGACAAGGGAATACAATGGTTACCTGGTAGCTGAGCATTACACTCATGCTAATAATGTTGTCTTTGAGTGTGTTGATTTCAATAGGGAGAAGGTACCAGGTACATCAAACCCAGACCCTGAAGCATCGTTCCATCATGTTCGAAGTACCTGCTATGGCCTCTCTTGCCCTCCTTTTGTTCAAGCAAAAGATATGGCTTGTGTTGTTTGCTCAAAGTGAAAAATGAAAGCAGAAGCTAATGAACTGTGTGTGCTTAGTAGTTTATGTTTGAACTAGCTTTATTTTGTTGTGTTAGATCTAGTTTGAATCTTTCTAGAACATGATGTGATTTTTAGTTTTATGATGCCTTAATTTAGAAAAAGAGCACATAGCTAAAATTAATTAGTAAATAGGTCTATTACCATTAATAAGAGGCCATCAAGCCATCTATGGCCAAACAAAGTATGAACAAAGCCACCTCACGCTTAATCACGTGGTTGAAATTTACGGACAATAAACAAAAGTATTTTGTTACCATAGCAACTAGTAACAAATCAAGAATGGCGACTGATATCAGTGATATGCCACCAGTAAGAATTAAGAACACAAGAGTATATTAGCAACTGAACAATCATTCTCTTGTCTCTTAGGCTGGGAAATTAATCCCTCGTGGTCATGGAACAAAAGAATGCATGCAGACTCTTACTGAACTGGTGAGTAATTAAGATAATGACTCATAAAGGTCACTGTATGTGACATTTACACGTGTATCTACAACATAGCCACGTACTGCAGACTCTGTTAAAAAGTTTCGGCACCAAACATATCCTGAGCCAGGAGAGAAGAGACTCTGCTATGCATTTGTTAAAGATCCTGACAGATCAAGCAACACAATGGGTGTCACCAGCAAAGCCTCACTCCAGGTATAGTATAAAGTTAAACCCAATGCTTTTACATCTTACTTTAAGGCTGGGGCTCTTGTCAATCCTCCTGTCCAGAGTGCCTTTCAGAAGCGCCTTCAAGATCTCAAGGACTCGCTTTATTTTAGCAAGAGAAGAGCTCCTCTTGGAAGTTCTCACGATCAGTCTCACGGCTTACCTCTGGGACTAGATCCTCTTGATAAAAGATTTGGAATAGTTAATAAAAAGGGTCAGCATTATTTTTATGGTATTTGATTTTAAATTCACTGTGTGTAGATATTTCGGCTGGTGAATTAGTCAGTCCATCAGAAGCCCTCAGTCCTGCTGAGGAAGAACTAGCAGCAACACTGTACAAGAGAAGTCATGGAGACTATGAAGTTGGTGAAGTGGTAAGGAAATTAATCTTTAAAATGATAATAATTTAAACTATCTGTACATGTACATGTATGTACAAGACTAATGACAAGTCTGCTTTACTAATTTTGACATTTTAATAATGATAATAGCTTAAAATTTTTTATTACTTTAATTGTCTTTATTTGTCTTTCGTAGATTGATAGAAATTATGACTGGTCCCGATTCACTCGTGATAGTTTATATGGAGTACCAACTCCTCATGATAACAGTGGGTCTGGTGTTAGGACTGCTTTAAAATGGTGCAAAAAGTAAGTCACAAGATTTTCTAATCATTAGTGTCCTTTCTAATAGTCAAGGGAATGTTACCATGAAGAAGCTTGATGACTTCAGAGAACGTAACAGACCACAAATTGGAAAAGTTCATGACCCGTAAGTACATGTATTAGGTCACTGTGAGCTATTGTCCATGCTTACAAGAAAGTTTATTTTAATACATGTAATTATTTTCTGATAATTATATGCGTACATTTATGCATTCATGTACTCAAAAGTTTGAGATAGTTTTGATTGCAATTTTGAATTATGAAGATTTTGTAAACTCTTTCTTGTAGGATTGAGGAAACACTGTATGTGCACATAAATAGAGACCACACATTTGGTGTCACTGTCATCCCAGATGACTATTGTAAGTACTGAATGGACTCATTGAGAATAAACATTATTTGTATTTTGTATTTAGCTGCTGGTGATCTGGTACAGATGAGTGGACCCTCTGCCTTCCTGGAGTGTCCATCATGGCATCCTGGGCTATTAGTGACTATAAGACAGCACTTGAAGAAAAACACTTTCTCTAAGTTTGGTGAACTGTTGGATGGATTAAATCAAAAGGTAATGATCTCAGCTTCTTATCAGTAAATTTTGGAATTTACTCCAAAACTTGACATTATAAAAATGAGGCAATTTTTGACAAAATACCTATAATCTCTTCTGATGCATAATGTACATGTACTTAGAAAGTTTGAGCTTATTTTGATCAAAATTGAAATTTTTGTGAATTTATAAAGTTGCTCAAAAATCTGGTCAAAACCGAATTTCACCAAAATTGATCAAAATTGGATTTTTAATGAATTTTTTAAGGTGGAATGTTTTTGTTAACTCATGAAGTGCTCAATTAGCATGCTTTGTAGAAAACTCTGAATAACCCCCTACCTGAAATCTACATGTACATGTACATGTACATACAAAAACCTCTATAGTCTTGTTAGAATTATAACATTATATAACACATAGGGATCTAATGGAAAGGCAGACCCTAGTGATGTTAAAGAAATTCTTTATCAGTTTCAAGTTCCACTTGACCAAGACATGGCAGAGCTATTGATTGCTTGGTCTTCAGACCCTGAGGGAGGAGGTGTGGTCTGCAGTGACCTGGTGGGTCTTATGAACTGGATGGAGCCAGTCTCAGTTGACATCAGCAACAGAGTCTCTGAGAGAATGAAAGAGCCGGTAGGACTAGAACCATCAAAAGTTGTCCTTTCTGATGCTTATCGTACTTCATC